GATAAAATGCGGCCTCGGTGGGAGTCGAACTCACACAACAGGGAGGACTTCTGCGCAGTATATAATGATCGTTTTTAGTGTAAAACTAACTAGGTCGTCCTCCTGCCTACTGGTGGACAATTTTGGTCCACCCTGCTTATTTCTGGGCACAATTCTGCCATCAATAATGTGCCACAGAGTGACCTTACTTATATTGAAAATACTTGCTACGACTCTCACGACACTCCCTTTGTTGCAGTGTTCCGTATTCGCTCATAGTCAACTGCAGACAGAAATTGTTTGGCAAAAGAAGCTTATGTATTCCCCTCATATACCCTTAATCCCAGCACTTTGTCCTACGAAAACGGTGGTTATAGGGGTTTGGTGGTGGGGAAATAGGATAGGCACCGAATAACATTCTTAGAAGTAAGTGTAAAGTGAAAAATATGGTCGAAGTTGTTTCACGCGGCCGCTGGTAGTAAGTTCTTCCGCATGTGAATTGAAGGTGTAAGCGGTGCTTCGGACCGCGGACTCTACTTATCTAACTCCAGAACGGTAAGTTGGACCTCAGGTAAGTTAAAGTAGACTACCTCCAAATCATTGGGAAGGCCAGAGTAGTAGGAAGAGTATATTCTATAAAAAATAAATTGGAGAATAGGCAATAAGAAATTGACTACGAGACGACCGCGCAACCGCAAGCCAGCGGAAGGCGTCTGAAGTGAGGTTTGCTCGGCAATCGTCACATGAGGGCCTGTGTGAGTCGGTCTGTGATTGGCTGTTACAGAGACCGGAAAACAGCGAGCGTTCCAAAAGTACACTTTGACTTGAGCTGGTCACGACAAGCGTTCACAAGTGCACTTCGTGTGGAGTTAGTCACTACAATCCTTCCAATTTCCTTCACAGCCTTCATTTCCATCTGTGCGCCATCAGCAAGTAAGTAACAGGTGTCGGGCAGAGTGAGTTTTATCGTCGGTCGAGGTTACTTGATTAGTTGAAATGAAGTATGTAAGCGCCCTTCCAGTAGACCTAAATTCTAGAGAGACATCTCTCCCTTTTGCGCCATGGACTCTGCCTTCAGGTTGACGGATTTTGGTAGATGAAACCAATTGCTCGTAATTGAGCCACCCCGATGCGGTAAATGCGCGTCTAGCATGTAGCTACACCATTCGCTTCCTTCCGCA